ATATTCTAATTTTGAATTTGGGGTTTTCATAAGCAGTAAGCCATAATCATCAAAATTATAACAAATAAAGGTTTGAAATATCTCACTTTGCATATAATGAGTCTATATAATATATTAGTTTCACCTTTTAAGTTGAATTGTATACTGAATATACTGAAAAAAATGAACTTTTGCACGATATTGGATTTTTTTTTTTACTTTTTTTAAACATTTTTAATCGAAATAAAATTCAAATATTACAGAAAAAGTAAAAACTAGAAGATAGAAATATTAAAGATAACATAAACACTAAAAGATAACATAAACACTAATATTCAAATGAAAACTGAAACTAATTTGCTTTATTTGCAACATTTACAAAGTACTTTAGACCAAAGTACTTTTTTATTGCAATATGATAATTATAATCTATAAACACGCTTCATTCGGCACTCAAGAGCAGTTATTTCAAATTTTAAAAGTGGATGAGATGTAGTTCCCAGCATGCTTTGCAAGGGACTGTATTAGGAGAGTAAAGTTTGGGATTAATTCTAGCGTTTGATCCTCAGTTATGTTGGGCATTTGGTTACCATTATGCAGAAGAGTAAAACCTCTGTAAATTAATAAAAAAATTAAGTTGGACTAGCATTTAGTTAAATCTACAAGAGTAAATTAATTTGACCTAAACCAACAAAATTGTGCTGACCCAACAAAATAATTGATTCTGAATGAATTGAGTGTAATAATTTCCTTCAATTAAAAAAATTAAGGGTAATGAATTACTTTTTTGAGTGTACTCGGGGTGTTGCATAGAGTGAGTGGAGGCAGGGCTCATTTGCATTTATCAGCATTTATCACAGGTTCAGTGCAAAGTGTTACCTATGAAATGTACAAATGTTTCTAGGTTATAGCTAAAAAAAAAACCACATATTTGACCTGTAATATTTTAATGTTTAAATTATTTTCTGTAGAGTTCGTTCTGTAGAAGTTCCCATTTTAATATAGTAATTTAATTTAGCACATTTCAGTTTTACTTGGAGTGTTAGTTTGTTTTTAATCCAGTATACATTTTAAAAAATATCGGTTGAATAATCGGTTATCGGTATGCATGGTCAAACCTAAATATCGGTATCGGTAAAATCCACTATCGGTCGACCTCTACAATTGAAACTTGCAAACTGTTACCTATGAAATGTACAAATGTTTCTAGGTTATAGCTAAAAAAAAACAAAAAACAAACACATGTTTGACCTGTAATATTTTAATGTTTAAATTATTTTCTGTAGAGTTCGTTCTGTAGAAACTCCCATTTTAATATAGTATTTTAATTTAGCACATTTCAGTTTTACTTGGAGTGTTAGTTTGTTTTTAATCCAGTATACATTTTTTAAAAATATCGGTTGAATAATCGGTTATCGGTATGCATGGTCAAACCTAAATATCGGTATCGGTAAAATCCACTATCGGTCGACCTCTACAATTGAAACTTGCAAACTGTTACCTATGAAATGTACAAATGTTTCTAGGTTATAGCTAAAAAAAAACAAAAAACAAACACATGTTTGACCTGTAATATTTTAATGTTTAAATTATTTTCTGTAGAGTTCGTTCTGTAGAAACTCCCATTTTAATATAGTATTTTAATTTAGCACATTTCAGTTTTACTTGGAGTGTTAGTTTGTTTTTAATCCAGTATACATTTTTTAAAAATATCGGTTGAATAATCGGTTATCGGTATGCATGGTCAAACCTAAATATCGGTATCGGTAAAATCCACTATCGGTCGACCTCTACAATTGAAACTTGCAAACTGTTACCTATGAAATGTACAAATGTTTCTAGGTTATAGCTAAAAAAAAACAAAAAACAAACACATGTTTGACCTGTAATATTTTAATGTTTAAATTATTTTCTGTAGAGTTCGTTCTGTAGAAACTCCCATTTTAATATAGTAATTTAATTTAGCACATTTCAGTTTTACTTGGAGTGTTAGTTTGTTTTTAATCCAGTATACATTTTAAAAAATATCGGTTGAATAATCGGTTATCGGTATGCATGGTCAAACCTAAATATCGGTATCGGTAAAATCCACTATCGGTCGACCTCTACAATTGAAACTTGCAAAGTGTTACCTATGAAATGTACAAATGTTTCTAGGTTATAGCTAAAAAAAAAACACATATTTGACCTGTAATATTTTAATGTTAAAATTATTTTCCGTAGAGTTCGTTCTGTAGAAATTTTAATACATTAATTTTTATATATTTATTTAATTTAGCACATTTCAGTTTTACTTGGAGTGTTAGTTTGTTTTTAATCCAGTATACATTTTAAAAAATATCGGTTGAATAATCGGTTATCGGCATGCATGGTCAAACCTAAATATCGGTATCGGTAAAATCCACTATCGGTCGACCTCTACAATTGAAACTTGCAAAGTGTTACCTATGAAATGTACAAATGTTTCTAGGTTATAGCTAAAAAACAAACAAAAAACAAACACATGTTTGACCTGTAATATTTTAATGTTTAAATTATTTTCTGTAGAGTTCGTTCTGTAGAAACTCCCATTTTAATATAGTATTTTAATTTAGCACATTTCAGTTTTACTTGGAGTGTTAGTTTGTTTTTAATCCAGTATACATTTTTTAAAAATATCGGTTGAATAATCGGTTATCGGTATGCATGGTCAAACCTAAATATCGGTATCGGTAAAATCCACTATCGGTCGACCTCTACAATTGAAACTTGCAAAGTGTTACCTATGAAATGTACAAATGTTTCTAGGTTATAGCTAAAAAAAAACAACACATATTTGACCTGTAATATTTTAATGTTAAAATTATTTTTCGTAGAGTTCGTTCTGTAGAAATTTTAATACATTAATTTTTATATATTTATTTAATTTAGCACATTTCAGTTTTACTTGGAGTGTTAGTTTGTTTTTAATCCAGTATACATTTTAAAAAATATCGGTTGAATAATCGGTTATCGGCATGCATGGTCAAACCTAAATATCGGTATCGGTAAAATCCACTATCGGTCGACCTCTACAATTGGAACTTGCAAAGTGTTACCTATGAAATGTACAAATGTTTCTAGGTTATAGCTAAAAAAAACAAAAAACAAACACATGTTTGACCTGTAATATTTTAATGTTTAAATTATTTTCCGTAGAGTTCGTTCTGTAGAAATTTTAATACATTAATTTTTATATATTTATTTAATTTAGCACATTTCAGTTTTACTTGGAGTGTTAGTTTGTTTTTAATCCAGTATACATTTTAAAAAATATCGGTTGAATAATCGGTTATCGGCATGCATGGTCAAACCTAAATATCGGTATCGGTAAAATCCACTATCGGTCGACCTCTACAATTTGAACTTGCAAAGTGTTACCTATGAAATGTACAAATGTTTCTAGGTTATAGCTAAAAAAAAACACATATTTGACCTGTAATATTTTAATGTTTAAATTATTTTCTATAGAGTTCGTTCTGTAGAAGTTCCCATTTTAATATAGTAATTTAATTTAGCACATTTCAGTTTTACTTGGAGTGTTAGTTTGTTTTTAATCCAGTATACATTTTTAAAAATATCGGTTGAATAATCGGTTATCGGTATGCATGGTCAAACCTAAATATCGGTATCGGTAAAATCCACTATCGGTAGACCTCTACAATTGGAACTTGCAAAATGTTACCTATGAAATGTACAAATGTTTCTAGGTTATAGCTAAAAAAAACACATATTTGACCTGTAATATTTTAATGTTTAAATTATTTTCTATAGAGTTCGTTCTGTAGAAACTCCCATTTTAATATAGTAATTTAATTTAGCACATTTCAGTTTTACTTGGAGTGTTAGTTTGTTTTTAATCCAGTATACATTTTTTAAAAATATCGGTTGAATAATCGGTTATCGGTATGCATGGTCAAACCTAAATATCGGTATCGGTAAAATCCACTATCGGTAGACCTCTACAATTGAAACTTGCAAAGTGTTACCTATGAAATGTACAAATGTTTCTAGGTTATAGCTAAAAAAAAACAACACATATTTGACCTGTAATATTTTAATGTTAAAATTATTTTCCGTAGAGTTCGTTCTGTAGAAATTTTAATACATTAATTTTTATATATTTATTTAATTTAGCACATTTCAGTTTTACTTGAAGTGTTAGTTTGTTTTTAATCCAGTATACATTTTAAAAAATATCGGTTGAATAATCGGTTATCGGCATGCATGGTCAAACCTAAATATCGGTATCGGTAAAATCCACTATCGGTAGACCTCTACAATTCGAACTTGCAAACTGTTACCTATGAAATGTACAAATGTTTCTAGGTTATAGCTAAAAAAAACAAAAAACAAACACATGTTTGACCTGTAATATTTTAATGTTTAAATTATTTTCCGTAGAGTTCGTTCTGTAGAAATTTTAATACATTAATTTTTATATATTTATTTAATTTAGCACATTTCAGTTTTACTTGGAGTGTTAGTTTGTTTTTAATCCAGTGTACATTTTAAAAAATATCGGTTGAATAATCGGTTATCGGCATGCATGGTCAAACCTAAATATCGGTATCGGTAAAATCCACTATCGGTCGACCTCTACAATTTGAACTTGCAAAGTGTTACCTATGAAATGTACAAATGTTTCTAGGTTATAGCTAAAAAAAACACATATTTGACCTGTAATATTTTAATGTTTAAATTATTTTCTATAGAGTTCGTTCTGTAGAAGTTCCCATTTTAATATAGTAATTTAATTTAGCACATTTCAGTTTTACTTGGAGTGTTAGTTTGTTTTTAATCCAGTATACATTTTTAAAAATATCGGTTGAATAATCGGTTATCGGTATGCATGGTCAAACCTAAATATCGGTATCGGTAAAATCCACTATCGGTCGGTCTCTACACATTTTTTTCCAAGAAAACATCTTCCAAAAAACTTTCCAGAGCCTTTTTTTTTCAGATTCAAAAACTTTCAAGGATTTCATGACGTAATGCAGTACCGGGTACACGTGGTCCTTTCAGTGGGTTTGACAGTGCCATGCCGATCTCCGTCATGCCGTAGCGCTCCAGCAGAACATGACCTGTGATCTCGGCCCAACGCTCCAGAACCGGCTGAGGAAGAGCAGCAGAACCAGACACCATCAACCTGAGACACAGAGAACACGCCGTCGTCTCCAGTGGGAAATTATGCACTTGTTTTTCTTCAAGAAGTCTTGTTTAAGCATTTGACCCTGAGGTAAAGTACGTTGCTGAGCTAAATAAAGGTTTGAAGGCTCTTCTTTGATGTAGAATGAAAGAGAACTTGCGAAGAGATGCTCTCGCTGTTTGGATCTGAAGTCAGACGCTGTGAGTCTAGATACATAAACGTGGTTTGTTTAATAAAAGACAGAGAGAGAAAGATCTGAAAGTCTAAATCTTCTCTGTGTTTTCTGAACAAAATACACATATAAGGGCGACAGAGCATTGCTCATGTCGGACCAAAACTTTGGGATGGTCTTTCTCTTTTTTTCTTCTTTCTATAAGGTCCGTAAAGTCACTTACGAAAAGTAAGGCCATGTTAAAAGCACATGTGATAAAAACGTCCTGGGCATCTTCATGATGGGTGTTTGATCATTACCTTGTCTATGTTTTGTTTATTTTTATTTCTTTCTCTGTAGTCCTCTTATTTTTGAGTTTTATTAGTGATTGTGAAGTACCTTGGGCAACAGTCGTTGCATTAAATGTGCTATATAAATAAACAAATTAAATAAGAGAGAGAGAGAGAGAGATAGAGGATAGTACCGTATTCTCTCTTTGCACACAGCCCTGATGAAGTCTTGGACTTGTGGTTGAGTAAAATGTTGGTCGTAATATTCAATGAGTTTTGAGTAGATGGTGGGAACTGCCATGAACACGTTCACCATCGGAGACTTTGAACTGATCAACTGCTCCCAGACCTGCAACACAACAACTAGATTAGCATTTATTAACCCAATGTGTAACAGTTCAATGTATAACAGGAAATAAATCAAATAGGCCTAATCATACAAGTGTGTACTATTAGGCATAAACGGATATCAAAATGTCGGCCAATGCATTACCCAATAATTATTTTTATATGCTTTGTTATTGTAAGGTCAAGCCCTGCTAGTTAACCTCAATTTTTAATGTTTCGGGCATAGACTGATAGTGACAGATATATCAGAAACCGAGACAGATATAAATAAGTCTAGGGAGGCATCGATATAAAAATTTTGGCCGATACCGATAATTCTTTATATCTGAAAACCGATAACCGATATTTTGGCTGATAAATCTAAATCCAAATTTTTATATAATTTTTGAGAGCCTGATAAAATAAAATAAAAACCTCTCATCATTAAAATCCATGTCCCAATCACAAAATTATAATATTCTCACGATAATTTTGTGCAGCCGATATTACGGATTTTCTTTTTTTTAAGTGATTCCAGTCATATTTTAAGCACTTTAAAACCATCATGTTGAACAGTGCGCATCTGAGGCATCTCAGCTGAAGGAAATAATACATTATTTATCGGCTTTAATATATCAGCCAAATTTTCTTATCAGGCCGATAACGCTAACATTAAAAATTAACATAAACCAGCCGATACCGATATTATGGCAGCCAATATATCATGCATATCAGTCTCTCAAATTATATAAAAATCTGGTTTTAGATTTATCGGCCAATATATCGGTTATCGGTTTTCAAATATAAAGAATTATCGGTTATCGGTGCATAAATTCTATTATTGTGAATTCTTTGGTCATGATAATTGTGTAGTCAATATATTAATGCTAAATTTTAAGCTAAATGATCAGCAATGGGCTCTATGCACGGCGGTATTTTCGGTGAAGCATTAGGGATGCTCGATAACTTCCGCCGATCGTAGAGTCCGATGCAATACCGAGAATTTATATTGAATTTTATACTCCATGGTTATACTAAAGAAACGTTAGTCACAAAAACAGATAAAACAGACACCCCTAGTTGTGTTTATGCTTCTTTTTAAAATTATATTAAATAAATATAACTATATATAAAATTACATCTAAACGTATGTACGTTTCATTTCAAAGACTGGAGGACAGTAAATTTTGAAGACTGTTTTCCTCGGTTTTCCTCCGCTTTAATCTCCACAACCGGAAATGGACGAGCATCCTTGCGTCAAATGCGGATTTTATGCGTGCATATAGCCCATTTATTTTTGAAAATTAATGAATATTAAAACCGATTAACTGGGTAAATATCGGTACTTTTACTGTCGATTAGCAAAAAATAAAACATTGTCTCCAGAACTGAGAAGAGATTTGAATGGGAATACTAAAATATATTTTCTGCAGGTATCATTGGGTCACATTAGGTAAAATCAGACATTAAAACAGGTAGAGTAGACAAAAAAGACTTGCATAAAGTTTAACTTTATAAACTGGATAGAAATCAGCCTTGATAGTATCAGTATTGGACTAATCAGACGTTTACTGTTAATTACAGGGGGGGAAACACTACAGATACCGATTAAGTCACTGATCAAGTGCGATTTGTCTTCATGACTCTAGAAGCTTGACGACTGGAGGAATGTTGTTAAAAAAGGAAAAAGCGAGTATAGATTTGTAAAGGTCAGTGTGATTCACAGCAGGAGAGAAACAGTTGAGATTCCCAGTAGAGTTACTATTGAGGTCAGAGCGAAGACTGTGCAGGACACACTGCGGCTTTTACTGCCTTTCTCTGCGTTTGATGAATGTGTGGTGTTAAGCATAGTGAAGGACGACACACCCGATTCCAACCCCACACAAACACACACACACTTACCTATATATTTGGGGATATTCCATTGGCGTAATGGTTTTTATACTGTACAAACTAGAGCCAGACCGATATTATCGGCCGATATTAGGCATTTTCCAAACTATCGGTATCGGCAGTTATAATGGCCGATAAATGAATATTTAAAAAATAAAATAAAAACGGACGAATCACGCTTGAACCATGTCATGAGTGTTGGAGTTGTATAGTTTGTCCACCAGAGGGCGCTCTACACCGTTCCTGTTGGCAACACTCGTTGAGTTGCTCACGAGACATACATTGCTTGAATAACAATTAAAAGAACATCCCCATCAGTTCTCTTAACTCAAATAAGCATGACAAAATTTGTGACTAATCATCTCCAGTTTAAAAATAAATAAATAAATAAATAAAATATCGGCCGATATATCGGAATATCGGATTTTAAAACCCAAAAATATTTGTATCGGTATCGGCCTTCAAAATCCTTTATCGGTCGGGCTCTAGTACAAACTGTATAATTTATTCCCTTACACTAACCCTACCCATCTCACACACACATCCCAGTCTGTCAGATGGAAACAGATGCACAACTGCCCATATAAACACACTTCTTCTCACACAAATCAATTACGCAGCTTCTAACTTTACTCACTAACTCTCTGTTCTCAGTCACACACTTTCATTGTATGAAAGGAGGTACGATGGATGATCAAACATAAATGTGTACGATTCACACATAAAAGATACAACATGTAACAATTCATTCTTTTTCATCTCACACACACACACACACACACACACACACACACACACACACGCCTGGCTGCACCTTTAGAACACAGTGGGAGAAACGTGTGAATTAATTGAAGGTGAACGACAGATTCTCCTTGGCTCGGCCCCCCCTGGGAGACACATCTCTCTCGCTCTTTCTCTCTCTCTCTCCATTTCATTATTTCTTGCTTCAGTACCTCCATGCTCTTATCATTCCTGCTGTCTCGCACTCTCTCCATCACCAACACACACACACACACACACACACGAAGTGACACTTCTTTTATCATCAAAAACCCATCTCTCATCACTCCCCCTCCTCTCCACTCTGGTACCCAAGTTTTTCTCTGGTTTCTCTTTTTCATTACATTAGCTCCCAACAAAGAACTGAATGCATCTGTGTGTATGTCCATACTGCATATTTAGTAGAGCCCGACCGATACAGGATTTTGAAGGCTGATACCGATACAAATATTTTTGCGTTTTAAAATCCAATATATCGGCCGATATTTTGTTTTTTTTATTAAATATTGTTGGATTTCACACACGTGTAAAAGAAAAGCTAACTTTTCTGCACAAGATACGTTTGATACTTTTTCTCTATGTCTAAATGTTCACTCCTCGCAAGTCTAACTTACATTTTACAATGCAGGGACTGTAACTAGAGATATGCTAGTTATAAATACAGTAATCATTACAAGTCCATTGTGGTTTCCAAGCTCATTAATGTTAACGTTAGCGGTCTTCCACTGATGATAGTGGCATTAGCTAGCTTTGTGGTTTGCTAGTCTATGATGAGCCATAATTTAGCAATAGATGACATCATACTGCAAATTGTAAAACATACATTTTCAATATAACAGGCCAAGGAGAGATGATTGAAGCGTGTTTCGTCTGTTTTTATTTTATTTTTTAAATATTAATTTATTGGCCATTATGACTGCCGATACCGATATTTTGGAAAATGCCTAATATCGGCCGATATATCGGTCTGACTCTACAATGTATGTGCGTAAACATCAAATTCATATAAATTTTGGCACGCTTTGCCTGGAGACGTTCTTGCCAATAATTTTATCAAATTAATTTTGATTTATCAAACTGTCTTGAAGACTTCAGCCAATTAATTTGTTGGACTACAGCAAAATATAGCAAAATATCCAACGTTCATGACACACAATTAAACATTAAATATAGTAGCAAGCAGCTAAAAAAATGGGCCAAGTACAATAGATGCAAAATGAAAAATTTTGAAAAATTCTAATTTATTTGAACTTAATACATATTGTTTCAAAGCAGCTTTACAGAAAGTGCATTTCAGAGATATGCAAGCATGATATAACATTAAAAAAATTACTGTAAGGAGTCGGACTTACTAAAGACGTCCTGTGAAAAATCGTGTCTGAGATTATTGCATTTGCATTTGTGGGAGTTTCCCTTTTAGACGCAGTATTTATGGGAGGAGACTATTTAAATAAATCATGCAATATGTTCTCACGATAATTGTATGTAGCCGATATTACAGATTTGCGCTGCACGTCGTTGATTCCAATCATATTTTAAGCACTTTAAAACCATCGTGTTGAACAGTCCGCATCTGAAGGAAATAATCCATTATTTATCCGCTTTACTATATCGGCCAAATTTTCTTATCAGGCCGATAACGCTAACATTAAAAATGAACATAAACCAGCCGATACTGATATTATGGTAGCCGATATATCATGCATTCAGTCTCTCAAATCATATAAAAATTTGGTTTTAGATTTATCGGCCAATATATCGGCCAAATTTTCTTATCAGGCCGATAACGCTAACATTAAAAATGAACATAAACCAGCCGATACCGATATTATGGTAACCGATATATCATGCATTCAATCTCTCAAATCATATAAAAATTTGTTTTTAGATTTATCGGCCAATATATCGGTTATCGGATTTAAAATTTTAAGAGTTATCGGTTATCGGTATCAGCCTGTCGGTGCATAAATTGTATTATTGTGCATTCTTTTGCCCACGATAATTGTGTAGTCAATATTAATGCTAAATTTTAATCTAAATGATCAGCAATTTATTTTTTGTTAAGCTATAGATTCTCACTTGAAAATTAAAGGATATTATAACCGATTGCAATATACTAAGGTTTGTGCTAGTCAGTTTCCTGCTATTGGCAGCATTATTAAACGCCCAAAAAGCATTAAACCAGATGATAATTTGAGCTGCTCTTGGTAGATCGTGTTGGTCATTACAGTGTGTGTGTTCATTAATGTGTGTTGCCTCTTATCTGCACTTTTACAGGATTGTGCTCTCGTGCTAATTTGCCCTGTTTAGTAAATCTGGCCCCACGTTTCAGTGCAACAGGCAAGATATTGCATTAAAAAAACATTTTATGTCAACTATGATGAGTTGTACGAAAACGGTTTGAGATTTAAAGTTCCCTTGTAATGAATATGATAAACGAATACACACAGAGTCAATTAACATAGATGAGTCAATATTTTCTAAAATTGACTACCTTTAACCCCTTACCTGTCACCCCCCTTTTTGATAATTGACATTAAAAAGCACTATACAAACTTAAATGGTTGTAATTCAAGAATGCTTTGGAATATATACCCATGTTTGGTCTTGTTTTAAAGAAAACAATCAGCAGATTATTACTGAAGTAAAAGCACAAATTCAAAAATTTAAAGTATGAAAAATTATGGAAGTTATAATTTACATTAAATCAAATAAAATTTATTAATATATATTTTTAATATAAAATAAATATTTTACTATAAAATTACTATAAAATGAAAGCTATATATCTAACCAAGTTGTGTTCCAAATTTAAAGTTGATATCACAAATTTTGAAGTTCCCATGAGATTTTGTTTAGGTGTAGTACCAAAAATAGCCACCGGGTGCCATTGAATTCCATTGAATGTAATTGTATGCATTCTGCCATAACAAATTAATACATTTCTATCCAAATATCACTTCTGTCACTAAATATGGAACCTTGAGACTCAGACCTTTCTGACAATATGTGTTTTGTCAAGATTAGAAAAGGTTTTGATAATAAATTATGAAAGATGATGCCCAAATAAAAATTAGCGTTTCTATGGTAATGCAAGGTCCAATTTCAAAACGGTTTTCACAGGATGAATTCTGAGTTCGTAAGCTTTCAAATGATACCTAATTTATGATAACTACTAAAATATGTAATATAATAATAATATATATATATATTATACTTTTTAGAGGACTTCTTACCTTACTTATTAAAATATAATTTTATCTTTTTATCAACAAATACTAATTATGTTTTATTATGAACTTTTAGCACTAAAAAAACAAAACTTTCAATTATTAAAAGTGTGTGCGTTGACTTTTTGTGACAAAGGTCTAATAATTTGTAAGAAAGAAACAGCGCTAAAATATCTATTTAGGAGTCTTAGACCTTTCCATTGATATATAGTTAGTTATCATGACTAGATTAGGATTTAATAGTAATATAGTGAAGTAAATTTACAGTTAATGGGTTAAAATGATGTCTAACAGACTGAAAGCTACAGATTTAATTGTGTCTCGGATAAAACTGTTTCTCTTTATTTGTATGCCTAATATCACACACAAACACACTGTGAAATCCAATAATGAGCAACATACATGCAGAAAACACCCATCCCACACCATCACATGATGGATAACCTTTTACATGCCGTCATTAATAACAGTAGAGCCTCTGTCTAATGCATTCATACCACAATAAATTCATCAACACGCATGTTTCGCTCCCACCAGATCTGAGACGAGCGCTCATCACTCAAACAACTCAGAGCCGAAGTAATGGTGGCTCAGATATTGATTTTTCTGCTTCATTAAAAATTACTGAACCGCATGTTGTAAATAATAAAACCCTTGTGGTGAAGAAAGCATTTGATCTCTCGAAGAAGAAGGTGTTTGTTTTTTGAAGACGGTCAGATCTGCGGAGAACAGGAGAACGTAACTTTCTTGTTGTCCTGAATGTCTTTTTCCCTGTTGTGTCCTCTCCAGACCTTTCTTGTCAATCAGATCCTTGACTCCCATTAAATCCTCCTGGACCTTAAACCCGTTCGCTCGCTCGCCCGCCCGCTGCCGTAAACCCCCCTCCCTCTCCCTCTCCCAAACGCGGATCATTCCTCAATGTCACGGCATCCATTGATCTGCTTCTAAAGCCCTTACCGAGAGTCGGCGTGTTCAGATACAGAGCTACACTGGGCAATCCATCACACAAACTCAGCTCACGGTGACAGTTCGGGGCGTCTCACACACACACACACACACACACACACACACACACAAACACGTTTATTTAGCTATCTAAATGGGGAAATTCCATTCCCATAATGTTTTTTGGTTTTTTGTAACGGTACAGTTTTCATACTGTACACACGATTATTAACTAAACGATTAGTTGGGCGATTATTTCATCGATTAGTCGACTAATCTACTGACTAATTGGACGACTAATATAAAGAATATTTTTCTGCTGCTCAATTAATAAAAAAACAATGTATCTCAAATAAATACTAGAATACTGAATCAAGACACTATAAGCTGGCTAACGTTAGTCTAATGCTATGTATTTGAACACCATCTCCAAAACCGTGTTATTAAAATATTTTTTTACAAACATTTTATCGTAGAGAATGTTCAAATATTAATATCAGCTGAGGAGGGAAACGGAGGCGGAGTTTATACTAAGCCTTGTTTATACTCGACACGTCAAAAATGACGCGTTGGGTGCGCAAAATTGCAAAGGTTTTTTTTTTCTTAAGGGTTTGTTTACGGTGTGTGATTCATTTAATGGATGGCACATTCACTTCTAGTCGTCTTCGTCCTCTATTCTGCAATGTTTCGGTCTCCCACGTGTGTGTGGCAAGCTGTACCGCCGCGAACATGCAAAAAATAAATAAATAAAGAAGCGGCAACGCAAAAATATGACGTCGACGCAATTTTGACATCATCGACGCGCCGCTACAGCACTAGTACACACACACACACACACACACACACACAAACCCGACCCCTAAACCTACCCATCACACACACACACACACTCTAACCCGACCCAAACCTACCCATCACACACACACACACACACTCTAACCCGACCCCAAACCTACCCATCACACACACACACACACACACTCTAACCCGACCCCAAACCTACCCATCACACACACACACACACACACACACACACTCTAACCCGACCCCAAACCTACCCATCACACACACACACACACACACACACTCTAACCCGACCCCAAACCTACCCATCACACACACACACACACACACACACACACTCTAACCCGACCCCAAACCTACCCATCACACACACACACACACACACACTCTAACCCGACCCCAAACCTACCCATTACACACACACACACACACTCTAACCCGACCCCAAACCTGACCCCAAACCTACCCTTCACACACACACACACACACACACACTCTAACCCGACCCCAACCTACCCATCACACACACACACACACACACACACACACACACACACTCTAACCCGACCCCAAACCTACCCATCACACACACACACACACACACACTCTAACCCGACCCCAAACCTACCCATCACACACACACACACACACACACTCTAACCCGACCCCAAACCTACCCATCACACACACACACACACTCTAACCCGACCCCAAACCTACCCATTACACACACACACACACTCTAACCCGACCCCAAACCTACCCATCACACACACACACACACTCTAACCCGACCCCAAACCTACCCATCACACACACACACACACTCTAACCCGACCCAAACCTACCCATCACACACACACACACACACACACACACTCTAACCCGACCCCAAACCTACCCATTACACACACACACACACTCTAACCCGACCCCAAACCTACCCATCACACACACACACACACTCTAACCCGACCCCAAACCTACCCATCACACACACACACACACTCTAACCCGACCCCAAACCTACCCATCACACACACACACACACACACACACTCTAACCCGACCCCAAACCTACCCATCACACACACACACACACACACTCTAACCCGACCCCAAACCTACCCATCACACACACACACACACACACACACACACACACGGCACACACAACTTCATCGTTCAGGACTCACGAGTTCTTCCCCAGAGGAGGCCTCTCAGACGGACTTCTCCAAACACATCTAGTTGCTCTCAGTTACAGTACACCGCTAGTGCACACTGGGACGCGGATCAGGGCTCTGCTGAATAATTTGGGTTATTTAAATTACAACTGAAAGGGATTATTGTATTATAATATGAATATGAGTATTTAATAACGAGGCTTTGATCGTCTATCTCACAACGAGCATTTGCCGGAAAAATATTCATCCTTCAGTTGATTGGCTGCCTTTCCCAGCCGGCCAATCACAGTGGAGGAGGGGCGGGACTAATACCACACCAACTAGTGGTTCAACAGATCTCCAACATCCGATTTCTTTCTCACCTATTTCCGTTCACTTGTCTGCGTTTCGGCTTAATAATAAAATGAACAAGAGTCGTTTGGGTACCTTCTGAGCGCTGAACTCTGGCAGCATGACACAGGTCGCGCCCACCCAGAGCGGGCACATCAGCTTATTCACGATGCCATGCACATGGTGGAGGGGCAGTGTGTGCAGGATCACATCATCTCGACTCCAGGCCCACTCGGACACCAAACCCTGAACCTACAAGGCCAGAAGAACAACAGGTGTGTGTGAATGTTACGTTTCCATCATCCACACGCTTGAATCGTGGAGCTATTGTGCATAAAAATCTGAGAATTCGCTCAAATGGACTGAATGATGCCTAGTTCTCATTGTGCTATGGCATGAACATGATTATTATCTACGGCTGGTGCATGTGCTCACAATCACGCAGGCCGGAATTAGGTCGAAACGTCCACACTTCCCAAAAATGAAAATTATAATAAAACTAGGGCTGTGCAAAAATTAATTGCGATTAATCGCATCCAAAATAAAAGTCTGTGTTTACATAATATATTTGTGTGTGCTGTATATAATTATGTTGTATATATAAATACACACACATGCATGTATATATTTAAGAAAATGTGTTATTCATATATAAAATATTTCTATTTATATAATATAGATTATGTATTTATATATATATATATATACAGAATTTAAGTGCAAATAATTCTTAAATATATACATGCATGCATAGGTATTTATATAAACAGAATTTAAGCGCAAATAATTCTTAAATATATACATGCATGCATAGGTATTTATATATACAAAATAATTATATACAGCACACACAAATATATTATGTAAACATAGACTTTTATTTTGGATGCGATTAATCGCAATAAATTTTTGCACAGCCCTAAATAAAACTTGACATTTTCCGTTCATTACATGCTTTAAATTTGCACTTTTTACACTGGCTTTTGGTTCAATGTAATCTTATGAATTTGTGTGTGTCAGTTTATGCATTTGATTGTTGTTAGATTGTACAGCACTTTGGTTATTAAATGTGCTCTAGAAATAAAAGTGCATTTGCATGATTGTGGTACGTCAAAATAACATCAAATACACATCTTCGCTGATTACAGATACTGCACAGAATTAAAAAGCATCTAATTATTACGTATTAGTATATTCTGCGAGCAAATCATCACTTATTAAAGTCTTTTGAACCGATTCATCACAAAAAAAATGCATTTCTCATTACCAAATTTCTATATTTGGACAGTAATGTTTTCATTTAATATTAAATTCAGCCATTACTTCATTATTTAATAATAAAATTAATAATAAAATAATAATAATATAATTTAATAATAAAATAAAAATTTTAAATGATATATTTTTTGAATTTCATTTTATTATTTTATATATATAAATAATATAAATATATGATTTAAAATGAAGGTAGAAGGGATATTTGTTTTTAATGACCCTACAAGTCCGATTAAACCATAAAATGTAACATTTTAAATATGAAGGAAAAACTAAATTTGTCGAAAAAGGAAAACTGCAGGGTTTATTATTATGAAACACACGTACTTGCTAAAAAAATCAAGTGTTTCATGTAGTTTATGTGCCTATGCGGTGTTTTTAATATGATTTAAGACAAACCATGCGCAAATTTATGAGTTAAAAATCTATTTACAGGCATGAAGCAAATGTTTTCCCAGAAAAATAAGTTTATGTGTGTCATTTTGATTATGAAAGATGAGTTTTAAGGGGTAACACGATTGACTTCGGGCTTGTCCGAAGACGCTCGCCTCTAATTTTCCACCCTATTGGAAATGCAGGTCAGTTTTTGATTGAAAAAACTCCACAGCCTTGAGTGGCCCATGAAATTAAATAATCAGAATGATTATTCAGGGAGGCGAGGTGGAACAAAGTAAAATAACGCAATGGCATCAGGAGAGCGAGGCGTCTTATTAAACGGCCTTCATCTCACACTAAATACTCAACATCTGAGCATGTGAAACTCCTGACCTTCTCATTCGATCATCGATGATGAATATCTCCAGAACACATGCCTATCAGAGTTGTGAGGTTATTGGAAATAATTCCCACAAAGTGGACAATTATTATTACTCGAATAAAACAAGCTATTAGAGGCTTTGTGTGACCCAAAAAAGAAAATCCTGTCACCGTTGCTTTGTTTCAAACCTCAATGACTTTCTTTCTCCTGCAGAACACAAAAGAAGATATTTTGAAGAATGTATTTAAGAAAACCGTTTTGGTTCCCATTGACTTTCGTTGTATTTTTTATCCATACAATGGAAGTCAATGGGAACCAACATTAGGTAAAAAATTGTTACCGTGATTTTTTTTTTTTTTGCAGCAGCAGCAGTTTTTTTGCTCTTAAAAAACAGTCCCATCAGGCATGCAACAGTATGCTGTTTTTGGGGCTATGAGATTTGAGAATTGCAAGCATTTTATTTTCCCAAACAGCTTAAAATGTGGCTCATCCAATCAGATTTTAGATATAGAAATATTTTAGGGTAAATTTACACAAGAATGAATGACAAATTGCATTTTTTCGGGGGTATAGACAACCATGTTGTCAAAACAGTCCCCATTCACATCACACGAGTCCGTGAAAACGACTAAAACGCCATATTCTGATATCGCCGTATATGAGAGACTTGCCCTGCATTTTCCTTTTTTAAGTGATTCCAGTCATATTTCAAGCAATTCAAAAACATGTTGAACAGTCTTGACACATCTAAAGAGTCAAGGAAGTAATCCATTATTTATCGGCCAATATATCGGCCAAATTTTCTTATCAGGCCGATAACGATAACATTAATAATTAACATAAATCGGCCGATACCGATATTATGGTAGCCGATATATCATGCATCACTAATGTAAATATACAGGTGAAACTCAAAAAATTTGAATATCATGCAAAAGTTAAAAAATTGATGATTATGGCTTACAGCTTATGAAAACCCCAAATTCAAAATCTCAGAAAATTAGAATATTACATAAAATCAATAAAAAAAATATTAAATACAGAAATGTCGGCCCTCTGAAAAGTATAATCATGCATACTGTATATTAGTAAATATATTAGTTTCACCTTTTAATTTAAATAACTGAAATACATGAACTTTTGCATGATATTATAATTTTTGGAGTTTCACCTGTATATATATATATCTATCAGATTTTCAGATGTTATCAGAATTCATCTTTTGACAGCTTTAGTTGACCATAGTTGCTCTGAGGTCAACATCGCTGTTCAAGTTCAATAACATTTTTAGGGATGCACCGATATTAATATTTTGGCCGATACCAATAACCGATAATTTTATGAGACTGAAACCGATATTTTGGCTGATAAATCAAAATCCAATTTTTGAAATAATTTTTGAGAGCCTGACAAGTCTCACCATTAAAAGCAACATCCCAAACACAATTATAATGTTCTCATGATAATTTTCTGTAGCCGATATGACAGACTTGCGCTGCATTTTCCTTTTTTTAAGTGATTTCAATCATATTTCAAGCAATTCAAAACCATCATGTTGAACAGTGCGCATCTAAAGCGTCAAGGAAATAATACATTATTTATCGGCTTTAATATATCGGCCAAATTTTCTTATCAGGCTGATAACGCTAACATTAAAAATTAACATAAATCGGCCGATACCGATATTATGGTAGCCGATATATCATGCATCCCTAATATAAATATACAGGTGAAACTCGAAAAATTTGAATACCGTGCAAAAATGATCATTTTGATGATTATGGCTTACAGCTTATGAAAACCCCAAATTCAAAATCTCAGAAAATTAGAATATTACATAAAATCAATAAAAAAAAATATTAAATACAGAAATGTCGGCCCTCTGAAAAGTATAATCATGCATACTGTATATTAGTAAATATATTAGTTTCACCTTTTAATTTAAATAACTGAAATACATGAACTTTTGCATGATATTATAATTTTTGGAGTTTCACCTGTATATATATATATCTATCAGATTTTCAGATGTTATCAGAATTCATCTTTTGACAGCTTTAGTTGACCATAGTTACTCAGAGGTCAACATCGCTGTTTAAGTTCGATAACATTTTTAGGGATGCACCGATATTAATATTTTGGCCGATACCAATAACCGATAATTTTATGAGTCTGAAACCGATATTTTGGCAGATAAATCTAAATCCAATTTTTGATAAAATTTTTGAGAGCCTGATAAGTCTCACCATTAAAAGCAACATCCCAAACACAATTATAATGTTCTCATGATAATTTTCTGTAGCCGATATGACAGACTTGGGCTGCATTTTCCTTTTTTTAAGTGATTTCAATCATATTTCAAGCAATTCAAAACCATCATGTTGAACAGTGCGCATCTAAAGCGTCAAGGAAATAATACATTATTTATAGGCTTTAATATATCGGCCAAATTTTCTTATCAGGCTGATAACGCTAACATTAAAAATGAACATAAATCGGCCGATACCGATATTATGGTAGCCGATATATCATGCATCCCTAATATAAATATACAGGTGAAACTCGAAAAATTTGAATACCGTGCAAAAATGATCATTTTGATGATTATGGCTTACAGCTTATGAAAACCCCAAATTCAAAATCTCAGAAAATTAGAATATTACATGAAATCAATAAAAAAAATATATTAAATACAGAAATGTCGCCGGCCCTCTGAAAAGTATAATCACGCCTACTGTACTGTATGTACATACAAAATATATTAGTTTCCCCTTTTAATTTAAATAATTGTAATACATGAACTTTTGCATGATGGTTTCACCAGTATATATATATATATGAAGAGTTCAGATGCAAAAGCCTCTAAGTGCCATTTGAAATTTTCTTCTAGAATGATCATTTTTATCAAACTTGTATATTTAAGTTCAGTGATTTCACTTAAATGGCAATGATAATTACCTATTAATTGTTATTTAAGTGAAATCACTGAACTTAAATATACAAGTTTGATAAAAATCATCATTAAAGAAGAAAATTTCAAATGGCATTTAGAGGCTTTTGCATCTGAACTCTTCATATATATATTTCAGCTTTTCAGATATTATCAGAATTCAACTTGACAGCTTTAGTTAGTCAACATCGCTATTCAAGTTTGATAAAACTTTCATGCGCCAGTTAGTTTACAAAACCCGAGCGCTCATTCACCATGGCCTGCAGACTGCTGTGTGTGTGCAGCGCTGCTTTGGGTCGTCCCGTGGTGCCGCTGGTGTAGATGAGCATCGCTGGTCTCTCTGCCCAATCGGAGACGTCCTCGGGCAACATCTGTGTGTCCTCACTCTGAAGAGCATCTAAAGTGGTGGGAATCTGTAGGCAGGGCAGCCCTAGTTTCTGGGCCAAGGGCTCGAGGGTATCAATAAAAGGTTCTCCGGCGACCAACAGCGAGCTTTGGGAGTCTGAGACGACATATTCCAGCTCATTTAGAGGATGTTTTCTGTATAGGGGAACCGATATGCCACCACACATCCATGACGCCCACTGAGCCACGGTGTAAGATGCGTCGTTGGCACACAGAAATGAGATTCGCTCGCCCTTCAGGTCTCCTGATTGACAGGCGAGAGCTTTGGTAATGAGTCCCGCCAGGCTTTTGCTGCTTTTGTAGAGGGAGCTGTAGGTGTGGCTCCCGCTGTGATCCATAATGGCCACACTGTCTCCATACGCAGGCGCTCTGGAGAAAACAGGAGCGATTCTCCCAAGAGCTGGAGAGGTTTTGTGGAGGGCTCTCCGGTGCACTACATTTCCCAGAAGCCACTTCAGGGCTCTTCTGCCAGCTTTACAGTGAGAGCAGCTCCAGAAAGACATCTTAGCGTTTCATCCGTCTAAAATAAAAATGAAAGAAAAGCATATTTTAAAGGGATAGTTCACCCAAAAATGAGAATTCCTGTCATTATTACTCACCCTCATGTCGTTCCAAACCTGTATAAGACTTTCATTCATATACATTTGCTGATATAAAAGTAATCGATCGCTTTATATGATGCTTTTATTCACATATAAACATTGAGAGAACTTTGTCATATGTTGGCAATGTGTGACACTGTTCAATAATAAGTGACTCATTCATAAACAACTGCATAATTCTTGAATGAATCAGATGTTACTTTGAACGAATCATTTGAATGAATGACTCAATGACTCGCTCATCAAGAAAGTATCATTTTTTCCTCAACATTTTTTATATTAAAACAATATCATAACATTAATGAACGCACTTGTTATTTTTCAGTGTAAATTATTTAATTTGATTGGTAACAGCCCCATAGTGTCTAATTATTTTAATTTATTTGTTGATCAAATTTAAGAATTTGAAATTAAAGATGAAGCATAAACGTATTAAGATTAGACCGGGGCAGATCGGCTGATGAATGTTTATATGTGAATAAAAGCCTTAATTAAATCAAGTCTCTTCAGAAAATTTGGACTAAACGTCTCAATTCATATGGATTGGTTTAACGATCTCTTCATAAACTTTTTAAAGCCTTCAAGAATGAAACAATGAATGAAAGTCTTACAAGATTAGAACGACATGAGGTTGAGTAAATAATGACAGAACTGACATTTTTGTGTGAACTATTCCTTTAATAAACAGTCTATAATAAAAATAAAATAGCCAAATAATAGGCTCACAACACAGGATTTAACATGAAAGATGCTTACGCTTACTGTCAGCATTTTCACTGGCCCTTACATAAATATGATAAAAAATTATCAACCTATTTTTATGTAAGAAATGTTTTATTTTGATGATCCACTTTAGACATTCTACAAACTACAAGTAACTTTGCAAATACATGTAAACTAGCAGTCATTATAGTATTAGACTTTTAGGGTTCGTGTTAATAGAATAAATTGTCATATAAGTTCAAAGGTTAGTCAGTATAATGTCTAATATGGACTATCTAAATAAAATGTACCCACTCCTTTTGTTATTATTAAAGATAACTTTATTATTACTTTATGTTTTGACTTTATTATTACTTAACTACCTTTATTATTAATTCGTTCATTCATTCTCTTTCATAAGCAGGACTATGGACCCCAAGCATAATAAAAGTAAATCTCAGAACAACAGTGGTGCCATAAAACATATAATCCCGCATTTCTTAGGCTTAGAAAGACTCACAACTCGAAAGTTTATTCTTTATAATGTTTTCTGATGTCGCTACGCATAAAATCATAACATAACTATAATAGTTTCCTCAAACATACACGCAGAATGAGACGTTTCTTACCTAAAAAGTCATACCGGAGACGGTGCGCCGTATAAACACATCCGTGTGGAAATCGAAGCGAAGCGGAACCTTTATTTAAAGGACCTTGTCCGTGTGTCTTTTAGTTAGCATTTTACAAAGCACAGTGGAACACCAATATCTTTACATTTAATTTTAGCTTTTAACTTGCGATTAAAAAGAATGGGGGAGTGTTTTCATTAAAATGTTATGTTTGTTTTCATTAGAGACTTGACTGACGAAAATCTTGTTTTAGTGACATGAATGTCATCAGGTAGAAATTATTAGCATTTTTAAGCATGTTAGGAATGCTAAAAATATATATACAATAAAATAACAACAATACATTGTTTTAAAAAACTATGTTTTTCGCTGAAAAGTCAAATACATAATACTCAGACATAAAATAGGATGAAAATACAGACAGATGGACTAAAGCTGGTGAGTATTGACATCTAAGCTTGCGTGTGTTTTGCCATCACACTGTTATCACCCAAGCTTCATCATGCCAACTGGTTTTGGCATCAGCTCACAGCACGGGCACACTTAGCCACCAGCTGGCAGTCGCGGGCCTCAAATAAGAATGGTTCAGACATGGCACTCATTCAAAAAGTTCTCACTTCCCTAAACCCCTCCGTGGTAAACAGGGATGGCATGTTCCTGCAAAACTGAAAGCTTTGTCTGAGAATCTCCCCTCCGGATTGAGAAGTAGTATCGTCAACGAACGATCCATTCACAATCACAGGAAGAGCTGGAAGAGAGGACACCCTCCTTGAGGCGGTAAACACTCAACAGATCATTGATTCTTAACGCTTTGCTTTGTATTGCATGTGATGCAGACGTTTCGATGGAGCGCCCTTGTTTCGTGAGGATTTTCTCTTTCGGATGGAATCAGGCTTGGATCCCGGGATGTTCCTGGTTCAAATTTTTGAAATTCCAGCTGCTCTTCAAACATATCAGATTGGATTGGATTGGAAAGAAGACCGAGAGCTGACCGAAGACAACCCGGTGAGCGTGTATTTGACGCGCCGCTATACGATGGCTATCCGCCAGCCCTGTATCTAGCATGTCCGGCAGTGGGCGCCAACAACTCCGCATTGGGTTAGCCAAGGATTCGCTGAAAAATGTGGGAGATGAGAGAAGCCCCCTCTTTTCGGAAAGATTCAGAGAGTGAGTAGGGAACGAAAATCAAGGGGTGTCCCAAAAACATGTGTCAGGTTGGCACCAGATGAGAATGCCTTGGCAAGCGCCTCGCTCTCCCCCTCTTGCCCCTCTTTAAACACATGGCACGTTGACGGCAGCATCTGGCTGCGTTGACTCTCAGCAGCTGCGCTTTGTCTATGCCAGTTGGGATGCTTGGCACTGCCACTTCATCAACTACCTGTGGCTTCTCCTGGGCGTGAAGCGGGCGATGAATTATTTGGTGCTGCAGCTGCAAACTTGACTTCGTTCCAAGAGATACAGTTGTGTAAACACTTGCTAGACTCATGGCACACATAAACAAATGCTTTGCATACTTGGGCAACTTGCATACTGGAGGACAACTCTGCATCTGGGCTTAGTTTATTCAACGTTGGGCGTCTGGTCTCTTGAGGAAGTTCACAACATTACTACACAGAAACCTTTGTACTCTATTACACAAGGAAATACTGGAAATACATTTTTTTTTTCCGAACAAGCCATGAAAGAGTGAGAAGAAGACTTTTTTTGTACTACTTGAGGAATTTATTGACTATATTAAATGAAAAATACCCCCTTTTCCTGGATTACTTCATGTGAGTTCCCCAGGGTTCGCTACTGGGTCCTAATTATTCTATTGCTCTCCTTAATTGTAAGTCGCTTTAAAGGAATACTCCACTTTTTTTTGGAAATAGGCTCATTTTACCACTCCCCCAGAGTTAAACAGTCGAGTTTTACAGTTTTCGAATGTATTCCGCCGATTTTTTGATATTTAGAAGAATATCAGTAACCAGACAGTTTCTGGTCACATTGACTTCCATAGTAGGAAAAAAAAATATAATGGAAGTCAATGAGACCAGAAACTGTCTGGTTACTGATATTCTTCTAAATATCACAAAATCGGCTGAATGGATTTAAAAACGGTAAAACCCAACTGTTTGACTCTAGGGGGGTGGTAAAATGAGCCTATTTCCAAAAAAAGTGGAGTATCCCTTTAAGGATTAAATGTAAATATAACATTTGTTGAAATGGTTGAAGACAGTGCCAAGCTACCCTAATGCTGCTCTCCAGCTATGCCAAACTGTTTGGTTTACAATGAACTGCCACTTAAAACATGTCTGAGGAATTTGTTGACTTTAATATTTGACAAATCCCCCCTTTTCCTGGATTATTCCACGCGAGTTCCCCAGGGTTCACTACTGGGTCCTGTTATGTTCCATAATTATTCTATTGCTCTCCTTAATTGTAAGTCGCTTTAAGGATTAAATGTGAATATAAGATTTGTTGTATTAAATAGACTATGTCAAGCTTCATTAATGCTGCTCTCCAGTTTCCAAACTGTTTGGTTTACAATGGACTGCCACTTAAAACATGTCTGAGGAATTTGTTGACTATATTATATGAAAAAGCTGGATTATTCCACGTGAGTTCCCCAGGGTTCGCTACTGGGTCCTATTATGTTCCATGTTTATTCTGTAACACTTGTTGTATTAAATAAGAGATAATGTGTCTGGTTTCCCCAATGCTGCTCTCCAGGGGTGCCAAAATGTGTGGTTTACAATGAACTGCCACTTAAAACACATCTGAGGAATTTAGTGACTATATTAAATGAAAAATACACCATTTTCCTTGATTATTCCATGTGAGTTCCCCAGGGTTCACTACTGGGTCCTGTTATGTTCCATAATTATTCTATTGCTCTCCTTAATTGTAAGTCGCTTTAAGGATTAAATGTGAATATAAGATTTGTTGTATTAAATAGACTATGTCAAGCTTCACTAATGCTGCTCTCCAGTTTCCAAAATGTGTGGTTTACAATGGACTGCCACTTAAAACATGTCTGAGGAATTTGTTGACTATATTATATGAAAAAGTTGGATTATTCCATGTGAGTTCCCCAGGGTTCGCTACTGGGTCCTATTATGTTCCATGTTTATTCTGTAACACTTGTTGTATTAAATAAGTGATAATGTGTCATGTTTCCCCAATGCTGTGCCAAAATGTGTGGTTTGCAATGGACTGCCACTTAAAACAGGTCTTCCCATGTTGGATTTCCTAGGATTTTCCTCAACTCCGTTGTTCAGACATATCAGCGCTCTACAGCAGCCTCATTTGGAAAGCATCATTCGCGCTCTCCCGGGGTAACTGTCATGTTCTTTAAATTTTGCAAAAGTTTAAAACCTCCAGAGGATCTCCGACATCGCGGCCTTTTAATAAAACAACGAACTCTGCTCTATTCGAGAGGAACGGGGGGAGTACTTACATCAGAGGCAACATCAAGCAGCAAAAACATGTCAAGCTTTGTTTTTTAAGTTAACTAGACATCCGTTATGTTCCGAGGCCTGACATCCGCAGAGCCACGCGACCCAGATTGGATTGAATTTACAGGTTTTGTTATTTCGTTTTGTAAATGGAGACAAGGATTCAAAGACAGCAGTTTTCTTTTTTGTTCAGCTTCTGGTGACCCACTGGGAGTTTGGCTCCATCTGTGCCAGCCTGACCCAGTTTAGCCCACGGCCACGTCCAACTGTTCAATGTCTCGAGCATATGTGCAGTTGCGGGGGGATAAGCGATCCTCACCACGCGGGATCGAGGAAAACGAGTTGCAGACATGACACTGGACCCGACTCCAGTCTGCCTTCTTCCCAGAGCATATGTCAGGAACAGGGCTGGCCTTCAGGACCCAAACATTGGAGTTATTCTGCTCTCAAAACCGAATGGTTTGACTTTTTTGCGTTTGGCGATGTTTTGCTTTTTGAATCTTGATTTGTGGTGAATATTAATTTGAGAGAGGGAGAGATACTCACCATTCATAACATGATGGGAACACTTTACAATAAGGTTCACTAGTTAACATTACTTAAATACATCAGTTAGCATGATTAGATTACAGCACGGAAGTACTGCGCCAGTAAAATGAAGTTACAGCTTACTTCGGTATATATAGTGTACCTATAAAGTATGGAACAATATGTAAAAATTGGGGAATAAAGCATAGATCTGTTTTGAATTAAGTTTTTTTCAGTTAGATTGTATGTATTTTCATTGTACAAAGTAATTTCATGGTACAAGAGTATTTTTCCCCAGTCTTAAAGGAAAAATAAACTTGCAATAGTTTTAGTTTTATCATCGAAGCCCAAACTTAATGAGTGCACTTTAACTATTATAAAAATACAATATAAATGCAAATGTACCCATAATACACTACTGATACACTATTACAACAAAAAGCCATGCCGTGTATGTATTATAATAGTAGAATACACTGTAAAAATGAATGCGCTTTATCTAATCGAAAAATTGTGGCAAGCAATATTATTAATTCAATTTTACACTTCAGAATTGAGTAATAATTAATCAAATTAATTAACCATTTAAAATGAGTAAAACTTTTGTAAATGAGTAATTTAAGTCACCATTATGGTGATCGGTGTTTGTTTTAGGTTTGTTTTAAAATGCCGGTTTTCTCCTTCAGTGATTCTGCTTGTTAACATCAGGTGTCTTCAATTTTGGCAATATAAGTTATTCAGATATTTTTGTTTAATTTTTTGGTGTAAATATTATGTTGTATGAACTACATAAATTATTTAAGTTGATTTGACAAACGAAGAAATCATGAAAATATTTTTTCACAGTGTACAAACAATAACCTGTGATCTGACCTGTCCCAACACTGTAAAAAAATTATATGATCAACACGTTATGCCAATATATATCTATATTTTTTACATTGCTTTTAAATTGCTTTAAACTTTTATACAATATTCAACTATTTTTTTAAGTCAATGTAATGTATTTTAATTTGAGGCGACTTAAACACCTAAGTTGGTTGTACTTAAAAATTTAAGTTAGAATTTTTTTTTTTTTTACAGTGATCGCAGT